CCTCCCTCCCTCCCTCCCTCCCTCCCTCCCCTCCCTCCCTCCCTCCCCTCCCTCCCTCCCTCCCTCCCTCCCTCCCTCCCTCCCTCCCTCCCTCCCTCCCTCCCTCCCTCCCCTCCCTCCCCTCCCTCCCCTCCTCCCTCCACTCTGCACCGTTTAAAACTACGACGAACGGGTGGGGGAGGTGGGGAAGAGAAAAGGTGTATGAGGGGGATGATGATATTGGGGGTGTAGTCACGTGAAGACATTAATACAGTAGGATGGGGTAGTCGAGATCTATGGGGTAGGGTAGTAGGATCTGTAATTTAGTAGGGTGCTTTATAGGTTGAATGTGGGGTAGTGATGTATAATGGGGTAGGTAGTGGATACTGGGGAGGGGTGCTAGTGGCATTCTAATTGAGAGGTACGAAATTGAGGTGGGGTCATGTTGTAGCCGTGCAAATAGAGGGTGGGGTCCTTTCTTCATGCTTGAGGGACCTCGAGGTAGGGTAGTGTTTCGAGTATCCATACACCGGTATTTTTATATACCTATCCAGAGGTGGGGTGATGGCAAAGGTAGAATATCTCCAGTGGGGTAGGGTACTTTTTAAGGTAAAGTAGGAGTGGAAAGTAGGGGTGGGTAGTTCAGGGGAATGTGAGTACAGAGGGTGGGTAGTACTTTACAGGAAGACCGGTGGAAGTTGGGGAGGGGCGGAGCAAACTAGGGATCGTAGGGGTAGGGGTAGGGGTAGGGGTAGGGGTAGTGGATAAATCAGGGGTACTATCCGTTATCATTGGGGTGGTGTATTATTGTTGAGGTCAGTTCAGGGGTGGGGTGGTATTGGTGCATCAAGGGGGTAGTGATACAAGGCAAAGGGTACGAAAGACAATGTATGGGATCGAAGCATCGCAAGTTGAGGAGGAGGAGGAGGAGGAGGGAGGAGGTGGAGGAGGGAGGGAGGGATCGGAGAAGTGATGCTGAAAAACTATGAGGAGAGATCATCAGGGCAGAGAGACGATGAGATGTCGAAGATGGGAAGGGAAAGGAAGCGATCAGATAGATCGATCGTAACGTGTACAGCAGAGGTTATTGCATCAACATGGAGGAGGATTGGGAGGATCAGGGATGGGAAAAAGGATTGAGAAGATTTTTAACTGTCTACGAAACTATTGCTGAATGTTCCAGAGGATGCCATGATG